TTCCCCTTTCCCCTTTTCCCTTTTCCCTTTTCCCTTTTCCCTTTTCCCTTTTCCCTTTTCCCTTTTCCCTTTTCCCTTTCCCCTTTCCCCTTTCCCCTTTCCCCTTTCCCCTTTCCCCTTTCCCCTTTCCCCTTTTCCCTTTTCCCTTCCCCCTTCCCCCTTCCCCCTTCCCCCTTCCCCCTTTCCCCTTTCCCCTTTCCTTTTCCCTTTTCTTTTCATTTCCTTTCCACCTCTCATCCCATTACCAGCACTGACACAATCTCTGTGACACCTCTGGAGAAATCCTGACCTCTTCTCCCTGGTGGAAGAGGCTTCCTCTGCTTCCCCCGTCCAGCTGGAGACTCCATTCCTTGTTCCCTCCTTTTCCTTGGCAGCACAACCCAAAACCGGTGTCCAACTCCAAGCCCAGCACGCTGCTCCCCCTTTCCAAAGCCTGCCCTGCCCCATGGATGGTGTCTGATGTCCTCTTTTCCTGCTCTTTCCCTCCCCTAGGGATTAAGGATGCTGACAAGAACGAGCTGGGCAGGATTGCTTCAGATCCCGCTGCGGAGCACGTGCTTTACGTGGAAGATTTCCAGCTGCTCCCAAACGTGGCTCCCAAACTTTCTCGGAGGCTCTGCTTCACCGCCTCGGAGCCACCACGTCCTGTCAAGCAGAGGGTGCAAGGTGTGTCCAGGTTCTCCCTTGATCCTGCTTTCCATCTTCTCAAACCAGTCTTTGGATGTGCTTCCATGGGGATGAACTTCCCACGTCCCTCTGAAGGAGCTGGAGGGGTTGGGGGATCCTAGAGGAGCAACCAGCTCATGGAGCAGCTCTTGCTTTGGGACAGCGGTCCTGCGTGTTTTTCTTGTGGCTGCCTCTCCATGGTTTCTTTAGGGATATCAGATCCTGGGGATTTTGATGCTGGATCAAGCAAAAGGAGCAGCAATGGGATGGGATGGAGCAGCATTTGTGCTCCTTGGGGTGTTTCACTGTGGGATGGTCACTGGGAATTCTGGCAGCACAGCTCGGGGTCTGGGGAAGAATTTCATTCCCTGAAGATCCAAAGAGATTTCCAAAGAGATCCTGACACTGCAGTGAACCCAGAGGTGAATTCCTGACCCTTCTTGTCTCACGAGCTCATGAGAAGCTGAGTTAAATCTTGGAGTAGAAATGGGGAGAACTTCACCTGAAACTTTAAAGACTCTCTCATTTTTGGCTTCTTCTGTGGTTCTGAAGCACTTCAGGGCTTCCTGTGATAGTCCATGGAAAATCCAGGTTTCCTGTGACCTTACATGGAGAGTCCAAGCTTCCTGGCAGATTTCTCCAGTGGCAGGAAGGAGAAGGGCAGGGAGGAGCTTCTACCCCATGCATCAACCAAGTGTTCACTGGGGAAGTGTAGCCAGATCCAATTTTGGTTTCTTGCTTTGTGCTGTCAAAAAAACGGCCAAAAAAAAAAAAAATCCTTCTGGAGCATCTCCTGTTCTGGAAACAGATCCCAAGTGTCCCTGTGCTCCCAACCTGAGCGACACCCATGGCTTTCTCCGTGTGGAATGTGTTGACTCCATCCGTGAACTTCCACACGTGGTGGACTCCAATCCGAACTCTTTCCTTTGTGTTTTTGCAGCTGAGCAGATCCTGGGCCCTCGGGAGCTGCGTGTCAGCGAGCACAGCCACAACTCCCTGAGGCTCTCGTGGGTGGCAGCCACGGGCAGGGTGACAGGGTACAGTGTCCGTGTCCACCCCTCGCTGCCACCGGGCCAGCCGGAGACAGCGCACCAGCAGCAGGTAGGGTCATGTTCCCATTTTCTGGGGCAGCGGTTGGGTTTCGGTTCCCAAAGTTGTGGGGTCATCCCATCTTGAGGGTACAGCCCAGTTAGGAAGGTCGGACCATGTCCTTCAGTCATCCTGGGCTCAGTGGGATTGGTGGGAATTTCTGAGGGTTGACATGTAGGTGGAGATCCACCATGGGATCCACCAGTTTGAGTCTCCAGTGCTGGGTTTCCTTTCCCAGTGTTGTGCCACAGCCTGGTTAGGAAGTGACACCGCATCCCTCGGCTAACCTGGTCGCAATGGGATTGGCACAGATTCCTGAGGGTTGAAGTGAAGGTGTAGATCCACCATGGATGTGGATCTACCATGGGATCCACCAGTTTGAGTCTCCAGTGCTGGGTTTCCTTTCCCAAAGTTGTGGGGTCATTCCATGTTGTGCCACAGCCTGGTTAGGAAGTGGCACCGCATCCCTCAGCTATCCCGATCACCATGGGATTTGCAAGAATTCCTGAGGGTTGAAGTGAAGGTGCAGATCCACCATGGGTGTGGATCCACCATGGCATCCACCAGTTTCAGTTCCCAAAGCTGGGGATTGATCCCATGCTGAGGGCACAGCCTGGTTAGGAGGTCACACCACGTCCCTCAGCCATCCCAGCCGCAGTGGGATTGGCAGGAATTCCTGAGGGTTGATCTGAAGGTGTAGATCCACCATGGGATCCACCAGTTACAATTCCCAGTGTTGGGTTTCAACTCCCAACGATGGGGGGGTCACGCTTGGTTAGGAGATGGCACCCAATCTTCCCAATATCCAATCTTTTCTCTCCTTACCTTTATGATGCCACCACTCAATCCCATCCAGCCTCCCTGGCAGCATCTCCTGCTCCTCCTGCTGCCCGAGTTGTTCATTTTGGTAAGATCTCCGTGGATTTTGGGATTTTCCACCTCCCGGTGTGAGCAATGCTGCCGCGTGTGCTCCAGCTCGTCCCACACCTCATGAAGTTTGGCAGGGAGAATGAAGGGTAGAAGATACTTGCCCTGAAAGCTTTGATTCCTAATAATAGAACAAAGCTATGAGAGCTTAAATTATTAAGGTGAAGATTATTAATTGTATTAATTATTAAAATTGTATTTAACTGGAATGATCATCCTTGGCAGCTTCCGTGTTGTCCCTGTTATTATGAGATCCTGAAGTTCTGTTTCCAACTCTTGCCCTCGGGTTACATCAAAATTTCCTTCTCGGAGCTTAAAAGGAACTTTCTTGGTTGTTTTTCCTTCATTTTCTTCCAAGGGTTTTGAGATCACCCTCACCTGTAACGCGCTCTCCATGTTTTTATTTCCTGGGCTATTCCATGGGCTGTTCCATGGGCTGGTCCACAATTTGAGGGTCACATCTGGGTGAGGGTTTCAAGAGGCTCCTGCTCACGGAGGTCACCTTGAGCAGGTGTGGACGGTGACTGGATGTTGTGCCATGGGTGTGACGGTGTCGCTTGTCCCCGTGTGTGACAGGTGGAGGTGGATGGGGACACAACCACGGTGCTGGTGACCAATCTGAAGCCCAGCACCAAATACGTGCTCACGGTGAGGGCCAGCTATGGAGGAGCCCTCGGGGAGCCGGCAGCCACCAAAGGGAAGACAAGTGAGTGTCCCCTGGGCCACCCCTGTGGGAAACACCCACCCCAAAGCTGGAGAGGAGGGGTGGGATGGATGGATGGATGGATGGATGGATGGATGGATGGATGGAGGATGGATGGATGGATGGATGGATGGATGATGGATGGATGATGGATGGATGATGGATGGATGATGGATGGATGATGGATGGATGATGGATGGATGATGGATGGATGGATGGATGATGGATGGATGATGGATGGATGATGGATGGATGATGGATGGATGATGGACAGATGGTTGATGGGTGGATGATGGATGGACGATGGATGGACGATGGATGGACGATGGATGGACGATGGATGGATGATGGATGGATGATGGATGGATGATGGATGGATGATGGACAGATGGTTGATGGATGGACGATGGATGGACGATGGATGGACGATGGATGGATGATGGATGGATGATGGATGGATGGATGGATGATGGACGGATGGATGATGGACGGATGGATGGTGGGATGGATGGTGGGACAAAGGGACAGATGGATGGATGGATGGATGGTGGGATGGAGGGAATGATGGATGGATGGATGAGGGAGGGAGGGATGGTGGGATGGATAGCAGGATTGATGGATGATGGAGTGGTGGGATGGATGGATGGAGGCTTGGATGGACGAGGGATGGAGGCTTGGATGGAAGGATGGATGAATGGATCGATGAATGGCTCGATGAATGGATGGAGGCATGGGTTTGGAGCTTCAAAGTTTATTTGAGAAGCTCCTGTTAAGTCCTGAGGTGCAGGAAGCTCCTTGGCTTTCCAAACTCCTCTAAGAGGAGCCTGGATGGGGCTGGATCCAACCCCAACCCTGAAGTGTCAACAAATTAAATCTAAGGAATTATGGAGGTGTGGTTGAACTTTTGTCCAAGGATTAAAGATGGCAAACCAGGTGTATTTATATTAAAATTAATGATTTCATATGATAAATGAGAAGATAAAAAGATCTTAATCAGAATTATTTACTGCACAGTAGAGAAGCTAAAACTACCAGGATAGGACAGAATCGTGCACTTTATCAAAATAATTATGCTACAGTAATTATATTAAAGCAATTGAAATAAAATTAGCCAAAATAACCCAATTTTTGAAGTAGAGATTGATGTCACTCACCCAGACCAATGTCCAGAGGCAAATCTCTTCAGCTGACCCTCAAGGGGTGACTTTCAGGGATGTCCCCACCCAAAGCAGGGATCTCCATTCCCAAGAAGGGATAGGAGGATGTGTCAGGAGAACATGTGAAGGTGGGACTGGACGTCCATCACCTCTGCTTTTAGGGGTTCTCAGAGTTCAAGGGGTTCGCTAGTGCCACTCTGCTCCCTGGATGGAGCTCCAACCCTGCTTCTCCTGAGGGGCTTTCGTGAAGAATTATTCCTTTCTTCCCTGCCTTTTGTTCCTCCCCGCGACGGACGTCCGCGATCGTTTGTCTCCTGGAGGGAAGATCTCTGACAGGGTGAACAAATGAAGCTCCTCGATGAGGTTTGACTCGTCTCTACCTGCCAGGAAGAAGACGGAATGTCTCGATGGGTGGAAATATTATCCCCGACACGGAGCCGGAGGCGGGAGCCATAAATCCGTCTGCCCCGGCCGGCTGGGTCCAAATGGGTTCCTCTCCCTTGGAACCATGGCCGTGGGAGCAAAGCAGGCTTTGATCCATGGCTTTGATCCATGGCTTTGATCCATGGCTTTGATGATTCCTGCTCAGTCTGCAAGAACTGCAGAGTTGCCCCTGCCCAGGGTAGATTCCCTCGGCCTTGGAGAGGATATTTCAGATCCCAACACCATTCCCAGAGAAAACTCCCCAATTTTCCGCCCTGGGATGTTTTGTCCCTATTTTCGAGCGGGAAAAGGGTTGGTAGGAGGGGGATTGTTGGTTTTTAGGGATCAGCTGAGGGAGAGCTGGTGCTTCTCCTCTTTGTGTCTCTCTGTCCCTGAAGACAAAAGGTTTTTCCAAGGATCTTCTCCGGTATTCCGGCATTGCTGCTCCATTTCCGCCCTATTTTTGTGTCCCCAAAGCTCCCGTGCCTCCAGTCACCAATTTCCGTGTGATAGAAGAAGGACTTTTCAGCCTGAAGGTGGCTTGGACACCTCCCCTGGGCAAGCTGGAGGGCTACAAGATCTACATCCCCAGGGGTGAGTTTTATCGATTTTTAATTCATTTTATTAATTTTAATCCACTTTAAATTGCTTTTTCTTAATTTTTCTTGGCGTTTGCTTTAAAAGGAGCAGGGATCCAAGGGGAGGTGCTGTTAACTCCTGGCATGACTCTGGAAAAAGTCCAGGATAGACTTTTCCAAACATTGTGGTTCTTCCAGGGTAGAGGAGAGTCCTTGGAAGGACTTTTCCTTGGAAAGAACAAGCTGAGGATAATGCTGTGAATTCCTTGTTTGCCCTGGCATATCCAGGTGTTTTTCCCACTCAAGTGTCTGCTCTGGTGGGGATTTGGGATGAGTTTGGGGATGCCTCCCACTCCCCTCTGTGGGATCTGAGGGTTGGGACAGCACAGCCAGAATTCCAAGCAACACCACATGGATTGGGAGACACCAACCACGTTCCTGAGCCGCCTCCACGGTGTGGGAGACACCAACCACGTTCCTGAGCCGCCTCCACGGTGTGGGAGACACCAACC